TTTGACGAATGAAGTTTGTGAGTTAGACAATGTTGGGAGAGAAGTGCAAATGTAAAAAGGAGCATCATATTCGACCATATTCCAAAATTCTCAATGAAAGAAAACAAAAATGTAAACAATTAAAGATGGATACTTTTTCCGAAAAATGTAAGAGATCCGAAACTAAAATTTTTAATAAAAACATTTAACTTTATTTTATGATAAAATACATTTTAAAAATTAAATTTATTTGTACTTTGTATTTTATTGTATTAATAAACAAAATTATTTGCGTATTTTTCACTTATGTGGAACCTAACCCTATACCTCTCTGTAAATATGGGTTCGTTTTACGCCGATTCGATTTGCGCCGGCTTTCGTAGGAACGGAACTGCGGCGTAAACCGAGGGCTACCTGTATACGATGGGAGGAGTTAAAGCATTGTCTATATTCGTGGATTTTTTAGTGGTTTTAATGGCATACGAATTTATTCATTCTTATAAACCTACATACTAGAAAATATTTGTAGAACTTTTGTCATTTATTCAATATTTAGGAATTATTGTAACTAAAGGGAGGAATTGGCCGAAAGTACTGTACATCATTGTACAAACAAGACCGGAGGGAAGTAAAAATTGGCTTAAAACTGAAAAAAGTAACTAATGGACTGCTTTTTTTTTACCGTATTTTGCTTAAGAGACAAATTTCTCGTTAAGCTACTGTACATAATATTGAGTTTTGTTTTTATTTTTTGATGTTTTTAATTTTGTAATTTTGAAGTTCTATCTATTATTTTTATCTTACTTCATCATTAATAATGTTTTAACTGTTCAGACTCTTTTAGAATTTTTGCTAAAAAATATGACAATATGATTTATTATATGAAAATTCATTTTATAAAAATAAATAAAAATTAAAACAAAGTAATTTTAATAGTAAAACTTTAAACAAAAGTTTTAAATTAGATACAGCGATATTTTCACACTTTTTCAAGCACTTTTTCAAGTTTTACAAATTTCAAAACTGATTGAGCATATTGATTTCTTTATTACAATTATATGCTTTCTACAATTATGATCGAATTATAATGACTTGTCAATGTTTTTTAAAAGGCAAAAATTTAAACTTTACAAGAAAAATGATTCACTAGATTCACCAGTTTGTCATTTTGACATTTTTCGTCACATTTTAGGTGGATTTTTCAGGTAAAAATATGTATAATTTTGTACTTTCTTTTTATAAAATGTGGTAAACACGTCATATTGGCATAAAAATTGTATAGTTGTACTGTCCTGACGAAAGAAATGAATCTGTTACAAAACATCGCACAGTGGGACCAAATCCCAAAAAGCTGGCCAAAAGTCGAAAAATAGAGTTTAAGTTCCGGTAATTTCTAGTCGTGGGTTCGGTTGGATAAGTGTCCGAAGGTCGAATTGTAGACTTTAGTGCCCCCTATCCCTTATACTTGCTATTGTAGTTTAGTTAAAAGTGGACCCTCAATCGAGCTAGACGCGTCATGCAGTAAGCAAAGATTTCTACGCTATATTCAACAGGGTGCCAAATCTCTAAAAATCAATCGAATTTANAATTGGACTTTTTTTTTTTTACCGTATTTTGCTTAAGAGACAAATTTCTCGTTAAGCTACTGTACATAATATTGAGTTTTGTTTTTATTTTTTGATGTTTTTAATTTTGTAATTTTGAAGTTCTATCTATTATTTTTATCTTACTTCATCATTAATAATGTTTTAACTGTTCAGACTCTTTTAGAATTTTTGCTAAAAAATATGACAATATGATTTATTATATGAAAATTCATTTTATAAAAATAAATAAAAATTAAAACAAAGTAATTTTAATAGTAAAACTTTAAACAAAAGTTTTAAATTAGATACAGCGATATTTTCACACTTTTTCAAGCACTTTTTCAAGTTTTACAAATTTCAAAATTGATTGAGCATATTGATTTCTTTATTACAATTATATGCTTTCTACAATTATGATCGAATTATAATGACTTGTCAATGTTTTTTAAAAGTCAAAAATTTAAACTTTACAAGAAAAATGATTCACTAGATTCACCAGTTTGTCATTTTGACATTTTTCGTCACATTTTAGGTGGATTTTTCAGGTAAAAAATATGTATAATTTTGTACTTTCTTTTTATAAAATGTGGTAAACACGTCATATTGGCATAAAAATTGTGTAGTTGTACTGTCCTGACGAAAGAAATGAATCTGTTACAAAACATCGGTGGCAAATACAAGAGGAGGGATTCAGGACTTAAGCTCTTCCATTGAAAAAAATAAAATAAAAAATAAAATTTTATTTGTTAATACTTCAAAACGTTGTTTTTAAAAACATTAATGCTGACAAATATGATTTACCGGACCATCTACAATACAATTGTCGCGCACATGCTAAAGATAATTATTAATTTGTGAATTAGTTTCTCTTTGGGTACTTCCGGATCCGCCACTGCATGAAATTAACTTAATCAATAAATCATTACATTCAGATAAATATAATAGTTTAAATTT